GTAAGAGACCCTTAGACTGATGATCAGTCACTCACCTGGAGCTGTTCCCCAAGTTCCAGGCTGCTGAGTTGACCCTGGAAACTAGAGCTGGTGGCCAGTGGGTGGGACTAAGGGTAAGACACCACAATAAATGCAACTGCTCTGTCACGCAGTTGAGGTCAGAATTCTCTCCGCCTTCTATGATGAAGCATCCACTCTCCACCTCCACCCCTCTGCCCATTTCTATGCAATGCAGAATAGGCACCATCTTCTAAAATAGCCATGGCAGGTCGTGGAGGTGTCGAAGGGAAGCAGAACTCTCACCCAGGCAAGGGGAATGAAGCCAGGCTAAGATAAGTACAAAAGTGTTGGGAACCAGTTGCTTGGGAGCTTCCTGCAGCTTACTTCCCTCCCTTAGCCTCTTTCCAATTTTCTACACGTTCTCTCTTGTGTGTTTGATGGGCAGGAGTTTGAGTATCTGACAACAAGGCAGGGTGTACAGCTAACAGAGTATATCCCATGATGACCCACGCCTCGCCAAGCAGCAGGCACCTGAGCCCTTTCTGAGAGCCAAATCATTGGTGCAACCACAGTGTTCCATAAATAGCATACCTTGTAGTTGTTCTCTGTCTGACCTGGACTGTGTCCAAGGACTGGCCCATCTGTCTTACCTTAAACTCCCCAAGGAAGACTGTTGGTTGGGATGACACTATGTGCACAGAGAAGACTTCCTTTCATTAGTCCCTGGGATTGCGCAAAAGCTGGAAGTCATAGACGCTCCCTTCCATCCCTATTACCTTCCTCCACCATACACCATCCATCTATCAAGTGTCCTCTTAAAGTTGCTGTCCTAGGTGGCATCTCTGTCGCTATGATTAAACACTGACTAAAACCAACTTAGGGGAAGAGACAGGCTATTTGGCTTACATGCCCTCTGTCACTGTGAGAATCCAGGGCAGAAATTCAAGACAGGAACCTAGAAGCAGGAACTGAAGCAGAGACCATGAAGAGTGATGCTTATTGGCCTGCCTCCCAAGACTTGCTCAGCCTGCTTTCTTATAGCACCCAGTACCACTTGCCCATGGGATAGCATAGCCTACAGTGCACTGAGCCCTCCTCTATCAATCATCAGACTTCCCTGCAGGCAATCTGATGGAGGCATTTTCTCAGTTGAGGTTCCCTCTTCCCAGATAACTCTGGCTTGTGTCAGTTTGGGAAAAGCAAAAACAGAAACAGAAAAAAACTATCCAGCAGAGTTGACAAATCCTACTGGGCACCCACTTCACATCTCGACCTGTCTGAAGTTGTCCTTAGAAGTCACCAGATAAGTAGGAACAGCACAGAGACTAGGAAGAAAAGAAGTTTGCAGAATGATGGAAGTCTTGAGGGGAGCCAGACTTTTCCTGAGGAATCCGTCATTGTGTCCTCACAGAGTTAGAGCTGGAGTCCTTTAGAAAATTGAACTGTGACCCAAGAAACTGATTCAAAAGGAAGGGGTTCTGATGGTGCATGCACTGGGCCCTGTGGCCAGTCTCCTATGTCTTTTCAGAGTCTGGGGACATGGACCCAGATCCCATGGAGTCTTCCATACTGACTTAAGGCAACAGCTCCCGGGCCAGCCAGAGATGGCTGGGGAGGCACTTAATGCAGCACTGCTGACCAGCAGCCAAGGCAGGAAGCAAATAGATTTAGGAACTGTGAGAGGCCCTAAGAACTCCCCAGAGGCCAGAAGGAAATAATGGCCTGAGTCATGGAAAAGAGCAGACATCCAGGAAAGGATGCATTTCATAGTTAAGTAGTCCTGAGTGTATCGGCCTGTAATTAGGAGACAAGACAAATGTTCCATCCTGTTCCCAGCAGCCACACACACAGCAAGAGTCCCTGAACCACAACACAGGCAGTGGCCACTGTCCACCTGGGGACAAGGTTGACAACAGACACTTTGGGGGCAGTCCAGCACAACTTAGATTATTGGACTGAAAACTACACTTGTGGTGTCAGGCTCAAGATGGTTATAAGGTCAAGGTAGGCAAGATGAAAGGTCACTCGGAAAAAAATTAGTCATATAGAGAAAAGCATCAATGTATGGTCTCCAGGCTACAGGCTTCCTATGCAAAGCATCCAAAAAAAGTCAAGAAAAGGGGCTGGTGAAATGGCCAGACAAGCAAAGGCATTTGCTGTAAGCCTGACAATCTGAGTTAGATCCCTGGGATCCACATGGTGGAAGGAGGAACCAATTTACAGAAGTTGTCTTCTGGTCTTCACTTGTATACCTGCCCACCCAACCCCCATACTGCCCCCACACACAATAAAAAAGATGTAATGAAAAATTTTTAGAGGCTGGAGATATGGATTAGTGGTTAAAAGTGCTTGCTGCTCTTGCAGAGGACTGGAGTTTGTTTCCCAGCACCCACACTGGGCAGTTCACAACTGCCTATAACTTCAGTTCCAGTGAATTCAACACCCTCTTCTGGCCTTTGTGGTACCAGTACACACATGTTCATACACACACACACACACACACACACACACACACACACAGAGAGAGAGAGAGAGAGAGAGAGAGAGAGAGAGAGATACAGACACATGTATAAATAAAAGTAATAATAAAAGTTTTAAAGCATCATGAAAACAAATTCAGCTCACTGCCAGGTTGTCCGAGGACCTGATGACAAAGTCAGTTAAACATTGTCAAATTTCTGTTTTAAAGCTTACCCCTACTTCTTAATGCAATCCTTTCTAAACATGAGCTGTAGAAGTTCTATGACTAGACAAGGATGCTCATTTGCCAGCCAGTTCCTGGGTATCCAGAGAAGCCATGAAGTCCACCACAGGAGTAAAGGGAGGCTCTCCCTCCATAGCCAGAAGAGTCTCAGCATCATAGACCTCGTGGAGAAAGTCACAGCTCAGATGGTGGGGGGAGGGGGGACTTGAAACAGTCTAAGCCTCCCAGAGTGAAGAAAAACCAAGATCACATCCTTCATCTTCACGCTTTAATCCCAACTGATGCTAGAGGGAGCCTTAGCAGATACTGTGATGCCTCTATTTGCAGAGAGCATTCGCAGAAAGAACTGAGGGAACAGAAGACTAGCAGAGACCTGTGGCCTCGAGAAACAGGCTGGATAGAGAAGCAACTTCTGGGGAACAGACAGCTCCTCTGCCACTGGAACAGCAAGGTGGTATCTCAGACCCAAGACTGCCAGGTTGAGCAGAATCTAAGCTGGAACAGATGGGGCCTTTGCAGCCTTGTCAGTGGGTCTTCCAGAAAGTTCTAGCCATAAGGATCTGCTTTCAAAAGCATATGTTGAGACCTCCTACCACCTGCAAAAAGAGAAAAAGGGGAACGAGAAAGGGAACAGGGAGGCATCAGAGGCTTTCCTTTGGTTTTTGTAGTTCTCGGCTTCTGAAAGCTGGCCTTTGATGCTCCTCAGACATGGAACAGCACTCGGAGGCAAGGGCCATTTCAGATCCTTTCATCTTCAGTCTGCAAGGGCTGAGTGTGTGTGCCTACCTGCACAGGTTCTCACAGAATGCTGCCAACCTTGCAGAGACAAATTTCAGTGTTTGCAACTAGAGGTTAGTTGGTTTGGTCTGAAAATGGTTCCTGTGTGAGACACAGGGAAGCAACAATCAAAGAGTCTTGCCTTCACAGAGCTCAAAGGCTAGGGAGGGAGCAAAATGAGGGTTGCATTAAAGAAGCCAGGAAAAAGAGCCCAGGGGTGCATGGCCTGGGACACAGGGGGAAAGCTAAGAGGAAGAAAGGCTGGACAAATAGATGGTTTCTAGGTACTAAAGGAGGTATGGAACATTCTAGGCAGATGGAGAGCATGGAGCCTAGGGAGCTTAGGAGGTGTGTGGGTGAGAGCAGATCCCAGGGAGCCCCTGCTCCGTGCAAAAGAGCTGGCATGACTCCCAGAGCTACCGCAGTGACAACCAGGTTGCAGGCTTTGAAACTACTCCTGGAGAGTATGATGGAGTCGGGCTACAGGCCAGGTTAGCTCACCAAACACCTCCATAGTGTCTGCCTGCCCAGGACATGTGGGCAAGTGTGGATGAGACACATGTTATCCTACCCCTAAGGACCTCACAGAGTGGGAACAAAGCCCACAGAAAACCAGAGTGGAGCATGAGGCGGAGGTGGGTGACACCTCAAGGTGGCTGCATCTTGGCTGGCAGAGTGAATCTTAGGACTCTCCTGTTAGAGCAGGCCAGATAGGAATGTGCGTGCCTGTGTGTGTGTGTGTGTGTGTGTGTGTGTGTGTGTGTGTGTGTGTGTGGTGGGGTACATGTGTACATGTATATGGAGGCTGGCTGGAGGTCAACCCCAGGCAACACTCCTCAGATACCATCCACCTTCTTTTTTACTTCAGGACAGGGTTTCTCATGGGCCTGGGACACACTAATTATGTTAGGCCAGCTGTTTAGGAAGCACCAGGCAATCTGTCTCCATGCTCACACCTGACTTTTTTATGTGGGTTCTGGGGATCAAACTTGGGTCCTCATGCTTAAGCACTTATTGACTGAACCATCTTCACTGGCACTGGGGCTTTAGTCTCTAGAACCAGGAATTCCAAGTCTTGAACAGAACCCTGATAGTCATTGTCAGGATTCCTGGAGCTGCTTGCATAACCAGTAACAGCATATGTTCACATTTCACATTGGAGGTGGGATGAGCCTCAGGTGTCTCTTCGGTGGGGGAGGGGTGTGTGCTCAATTCCTGAACAGCAGCAAGTAAAATTAATGCAATTCCAGAACCAGGTCTCTTGTTTTCAACATTCGGCTTCCTCTTGGTCTCCAGAAAGCCCTTGTCTTGGTGAAAATCATTTCCATTGCCATGTTTGCTGAGTTGTGGTGTTGTGGAGATAAGTCTTTCCAGGAAACCTTGGAGCTGTTTTTCCAGGCACTGTGGTGAATACTAAGGCATAGAAGGACAGCGGGAATTAACACTGCCCTGCACCTCCTGCCTCCTGGGCTGCCAGTCCTCACAGGCCAGGCCAGCGCTGACTGATGGGTCCTTCCCT